AAAATATTTTAAAAAATTGCAATAATATCGTATCGTGGGATGTATGGTGATTCCCACCTCTAATATGTTGACTGTACACCACACGTGTGATAATCATCCCTGCAGACCTCGGTGGATGTAAGCCAAAGTTTCCTGGGTCGTTAACATGAGTTCATTCTAAACGTCTGGTGTTTACAGGCAGAACGACTCGTTCTCTGTTATTCTCTTTAAAAACTGATTTGAATCCTAGAACTACAACATGAATCCTACAGAACTTATAAATGCTTGTATGACTGCCATATCTTATTATATCTCATCTACAAATGAGTTTAGTCCACAGAAAATGCAGCGTCGTCCGCGGCAGCCATGTAGTCACGTACTGCACAGACTCCATTTGGCTTATTGCTCCACTTTGTCCTTCTTAGGACACTTTCCAAGACTACCAGGAGATGTTTGTCCAGTTTGGCTACGTGGTGCTCTTCTCCTCTGCCTTTCCTCTGGCTGCCATGTGCGCTCTCATCAACAACATCATTGAGATCCGCAGTGATGCCTTTAAGCTCTGCACCGGCCTGCAGAGGCCCTTTGGAGTACGTGTGGAGAGCATCGGCCAGTGGCAGGTAAGAAATGCACTGTGTGAACATCTAAAAGTGATAAATTAAAGGTCAAGGGGAGCTGATTAACACACAAACGGCGTTAATGTTAACAATCTAATCAAGTTCATCAGTAATCAGAGTCTGGCTGAAGCACAAAGTCAGAAAAAGATGGAAACCTTTTATTTTCCCGTTCACAGACTGCGATGGAAGCCATGGGCCTGATTGCCATCATAGTGAACTGCTACCTGATTGGTCAGTGTGGTCAGCTACAGCGTCTCTTTCCATGGCTCAGCCCTGAGATGGCCATCATCTCCATCGTCATCCTCGAGGTACCGCAGCTACTTCCTGCTCAGTCTGAAACACAGCGGCGCTCGTTCAGTCTTTTCCCGTCACACAGTTTTCTTACCTGTAAAGACTGAGATGGACATTTACTCAAACCACTTCATCAGTCGGTAAACTGTGTAACACAGAGATTTCACTTTCATGACACGTTGTAATGAAGTAGAAGCCCAGGAAACAAACCAGTTTTAACTCACCAAACGCATGAACGAAGGACCTGAAACCGTCTGTGCACAACGCTGCTGCTACAGCTTGTAACATATTTAGAAACAGGCTGCGCTTCACTGAGCCGGCCGTCTGCATCCACAGAGGTCAACAGCCTGCAGCTCTGTGCTGGCCTGATAAAGAAGTTTGAGCCCAAATGTTGCAAGAATGACCTCAAGTGACAAGTTGCTTAAAGAGGGCGTTTGAGGCACCGTGTCCTATTTACTGTAAGTGAATTACTTTATAATTGTTTGACTTCACCTTCCCTGTTTTCCACCTCTCTGTCTGTTTGCAGCACTTTGCCATCCTGTTGAAATACATCATCCATGTGGCTATTCCCGACATTCCTACGTGGGTCAAAGAGGAGATGGCTAAACTGGATTACCAGCGCAGGGAGGCCTTTAAGGTGACTTCAGGGAGTTCGAAGAAGTCTCCCTCATTAACCTTATGATGCTACAGCACTGCAGTTGTTTCTTTTTGGAAATAAATGACTAAAGTTGCTTTGATATTGTAGCAAAATGACTGTGTTACTGTGAAGGTTGTCAGCTGTGCTGCACGACACAGGGAAAGAGATTAGCTTGTAGCTGCCCCGGGAGAACTAATGCAGGATTCTGACTGCAGTAAGGGCTTTTAGACGAGTGGTGTAGTGGTGTAGTAGTTGACTACTGCTGATTCTTTACGAATGCATTGTGAGAACGTTTCCCTTCCTCTGCAGAAGCACGAGCGGCAGGCGCAGCAGCATTACCAGCAGCTGCAGAGGAGGAAGAGGGAGGAGGAGGAGAGGCAAAGGCAGGCGGAGCACATGGCTCGCAGGGAGAGGGAGCGGGACGACAGCAAAGGCGACGTTTCGGGCGATCACCACCACGACAAAGGTCACGGCAGCAAATCACGTTCTGGGGGCGGAGGAGGGAGCGGCGGGTCGGACAAGCCCAAGAGGCCCAGCTCCCTGCTGGCCAATAATAACGTGATGAAGCTGAAGCAGATCATCCCGCTGCAGAGCAAGTTCTCCTCGGGTGGCGCCCGCTCCCCACAGTCACCCACGGGCAGCGAGCCGAAACTGCCCGGCTTCTTGAGCTTCAAATTCCTCAAGTCGCCTGAGAATAAGAGGGAAGGCGCCGCGGCTTCTGCGGCCGCCGGCACCGCATCTGCCAGCGCCACGGCAACAGCGGCGCCGTCATCATCGTCATTATCAGGTAGCAGCTCTCAGGAGCGTTCTCAGTCACCCAATAAAGCCTTCAACCCCGGGAAGTTGTTTAACTTCGGGAAATCCGAGGGAGGGACTTCCACAAACGGAGCTCCGCTGCCCAGGTCGGGAGAGGCGTCATCATCGCAGACGTCGGAAAGACAGCCTTCCCGGTCTGACTTGAATGGCGTTCCAGACGAGATCCCCTCACCCGGAGGGGAAGGCGCAGAGAACGGACATTCGTCAGACTTGGACGCGGCTGGTTTTAAAATCTAGCGCAACTGATGTTTGGTTCCATCTCACCTGAACAGGTGACGTGTTTACTGTGAGGCCTGACCTGCCCTCTGTGCTTCACAGGTGCAGGAGAAGCTGATGAGGCCAGACTGTTGCTCTGGTTCGCTTTCTTTGCTGCGAGACAAAAAAAAGAAAATAGAGAAAGAAACAAAAAAAACAGGCTTTGTAAGAAAGACGAAAGCCCTTCATGACCGAACACACACACACACACACACACACACACACACACAAATATTCAAATTCTTCCTTGTCTGCAATACATAAAGAAATGCATGAGCTGCGTTTCTAATATTTTTACGCCTTTGAAGCAGAGCTTTGTTTCCTGATTTCTTCTGGTCAGAAATTGTAAACATCTCGGTGGCTTCACACCAACAGTCTGTCGTGGAGGGGAGGAGCTCAAGGGAAAAAAAGCTTACATGGCGGTACGAACGGATTAGAGATTGTACATCAGATAATTACTGAGTGTTTTTTAGCTGTCACCACACAAGCGATCGTTAGAAATCGTCTCATTTTTAACCTGCGACGAGTTGTTGGGCCCTTCGCTTTCGTACTGAAGCTGAAGAGTGGAAAAGCAATATGAGTCAGTGTTTTTGTTTATTAAGTGTCAATCATCGCATAAGCCCCTCCTTAACAGTCACCAGCTTTATTTTCAAAGCAGAGGTGAGGTCTGAGCTTTGCAGAACCCGGTTTGCTCCAACAGAAAGCGGCGAGCTTAGTAAGTCGTAAAAATCACAGTATTTTGGAAGAGCGAGCGATGTTCGAGGAAAAGGAGCAGAGATGCCCGTTGCGTGCTGTTCTCCATCCAAGTCCGCAGAGCGCCTTGTAAACACAGATGGTGCCTCATTCCACAAACTCCAGCTAGACAAACGAGCACAGAGTTAAAGACGTAACATTTGCACTAAAGCCCGACGCCCTGCATAGAAACCACCTCGGCACAGAGGGCCCACACCAGCCTGCCTCGTCATTATGCAAAAAATGCATTTCTGGTCATTTCCCCCTTTCACGTGGTGCACGCAGTCGGCAGCAACGAGCTTTCAAAATATTCATGTTTTCTTCTTGAACAGCTGTTTTTATTTGCAGAAGATGGAAATTCCCTTTTTTTTAACCAGTGCAGAACTTTTCAGATTATACTGTTAACCCAAGACGTACAGTCCTCTGTAAAGGTTTTAGGCACTAAGATATGTGAGAATATGTCAGTTTAGCTGACAGGAGTTCAGTAAATAGAAAAACCCTACATTAGTGAGAGCTTCATTTGACTACACAGTCGCTCAGTCATTATGACATCTTACCCAGAATCCTTCTCTGCAGTCGGACTGTCTCTCTTCATGCATTTACTGGCTCACTTGATGACATCACCATAAATCGAGCCCCGGCTCCGACAGTCTCGGTCGTTGTGTCCTTGGGCAAGACATTTCACCTGTTGCCTACTGGTGGTGGTCAGAGGGCCCGGTGGCGCCAGTGTCTGGCAGCCTCGCCTCTGTCAGTGCGCCCCAGGGTGGCTGTGGCTACAATGTAGCTGCCATCACCAGTGTGTGAATGGGTGGATGACAGGTTGCGTAAAGTGCTTTGGGGTCCTTAGGGACTAGTAAAGCGCTATACAAATACAGGCCATTTACCATTTACCATAAAGGTTCTGCAGGGACCAATGCATGTGTTGCAGGACTCCCTTTTCTCACTGAAGATACATTTTAGGTCATCGTCATTTTTCAAAAAGCAGGATGGCATCATGTGATTTACAAAAACATACAAACATCTCAGAGTGCCTAAAACTTTTTCACAGTCTGTACTTTGCATATTGTTTGCATGATCCATGTATTTTCAATGAGCCCAGCATCTACCCTTAGCTGGTATTTCACTTCTGCAGGGTCTCCAGAAGGTGGCGCCAGTTTATTCACATAAAACGATGGTGTTAAGCCGCTGGTTATTTAGTCACCACAGGCAGCAAAATTAAAGCAGTCTGACAGGTTTATGATGATATGAGACACTGAGAGGATTCAGAGGCCGCCGCACTGTCGAGATACGGAAACATTAACTATGCATTTCCACACGTTCACCTCCGGCGAGGATTTGGGCAATAACACCGCGTTGAAGTTGACGTGTAGTACTAAAGCTCGACACCCACCCAACCTCAAACCCCAACTCCACCGCATCATCCTCACCCAGACTCTATGCATTTTCTTTCCCTTTATGTTTTAGTGTCAGCTCTCTCAGATCGCCTGTTTCCTATTTAAACCTGCATCGGCTTAACAGGTTTTTGTATTCTGTTACAGCTTTAACGTGTTCGTTTTAGAAGTCTGGGCCATTTTTCGCTCACACGCCTGCAGAAGAGACGAAAAATGTTCTTTCCGGGAGGCAAAAAGTTCTTACTGACATTAAATGCAATACCGAAATAGTCTGTGCAGTCATGTTAACATTTTTTAGGAGTATTTGGAAGGTACTGTTCATTATAAATGTAAATCGAGAAGGCCGAGGCTAAGAGAAACGTGACATCATCAGCGTGTGTGATCTGACGACGTAGCTGAGCACAGTCTCATTAAAAACCCTTGATCTTCTCGCAGCATCAGGATTTCAGGGATAAATGACTTCATGGTGCGTCCATCGTTTGAAAAAGTCCCACAGAGAAGCAGAACTGGTGCGCTGAATAGATCCGCCGATGCCGAGCGGAGGTCACTTCCATGTGTGCATTCCCACCTTATTCAGGTAAAGCTGAAGAGCATCACAACAGACATCGGCTTGTTACCTTTTTCGTTTTTGCAGTGAAACATGTTCTGCAACGGAGATCTGCAACGTTTGGAGGAACAGCAGCGTCGCGGCGCAGGCATCGCCTGCATCAGGACAGAAGCTCGGACTCTTTATCAGAACAGCTTCTTTGAAAAGTTCGGACGTCGTCTGTCTCGTTTGGAATAAGCAGGAAAGGACTGAATGGACGTATTAATGTTTCTGTGTTTCAGAGTGAACAGCTGAGACTCACCGCAGCTACATTAAAGCCCGAAAGATGAGACATTTTCATGGAAGCCTCACTTACACGACATCATACGCTCTTCCAATGTACCACTGTACAAAAAAAGATCTTTTAAAGAAAAATACTGGGAAATGGGATTATTTATTTCTTTTAATTTATTTTGTCATATTTTTGTAAGACCTGAAAAATAGTTAATAAAACTATTTCAAATGCATTCCATGTGTTTTTAAAGTTTTTGAAGTACCACATAAACCAAAAGTGTTTTAATCCAGTTTTATTTCAGCAAAGCTAAAAAGAACATATGTGATCTAACACGTGTGGGGCAAGGCTTCGGGTGGTGTAGAACAGTCTGAGCAGAAGCATAATGAGGTTTTTATACTTGAAATAACAAGACGGGGTATTTACAGTGTAGATATGAAGATGACTGACCGCACCGTCGACCCACAAAACAGGAAAGAGAGGAGGTTACGTCGTGACTCAGCCGGGGAGTGATAAGAACGATTTTTTTAAAGGACAGAAAAGAAAAGCTTTTTTGGGTGTAAGGACACCAATACAAACCGAATCATACAAGGAACAAGGCAGGATGGCAGCTGCACTTTGCTGTGCATGCTTATTGTGCATCTATGGCTGAAAGTATAATACTCTAAACGCAGCAGCCAGCTCTCCATCGAGAAGGGAGGAAAATAATAAACACCAACCAGAGCTGTCACAAAGATGAGACGAGCAGTGACGCTAACCCGGGCCCTGAGCTGGATCCGAGTCTTAAGGCCTCTCGGCTAATACCTTCCACACAAAATACCCCCCCGCCCCCCCAAACACTTTATTTCTGGTCCAGGATTATAACATCCAGCCACTGAAACAGTAACATGCAAGGCAAGATAACATCCACTGGACACTGGGGCTCTTCTCTACTTTATTCTGTAGTCTTTTACAAAAAGGCAGACACAAAGATACTAAATTGGATACGCTACTGTAAGTATTTACACACGTTATGCATTCTTTTCCTTCCCACACATTACTATAGACATTTCTCTTTAGCGTCTGTGCTGTTGCCAAAGTTGCGCGACTAAAAATGAAATCTCACATTTCTGTATTTTCCTATTAAGACGTAACAGCTCTTTCTTTTTCTTCACATCTTTCGGTGAAAGATCTGCTAAAACTTAAAGAGAGAGAATCCCCTTCTTACTCGCCTCGATCAGCCAGAGGGAGGTGCTAGACGTGACGCTGCTTCTCAGCCACGCCGACAACATTAATCCTACGAGTCCCAGGATAGAACACAGATATTCATATATTCACCATAAAACAAACAAAAGAAGCCACACGTTTAAAAAGGTGGGGGTCCGGAAGAGTCGCTTCTACTTTGTGCTGTTCTTCACAGTGCATTCTTGGTTCTGTCGATTCAAACAGTGTGGAAAAGAAGTCGCAATGCCCCCGTGTGGTTGCAGAGTGGGCAGTGAAACTGAGATGGTGGGCACTGTGGCTGGCAGGAAGCTCATTGCCATTTACAAACAACAACAAAAACATCATAAAATAAAATTAAAACAGTAACAAAATACTCACACGAATCAGAACAGACTGTCCGGGTGACAGAGAGGCTACACGAGTCTTGTACCAGTTACATTTTGAAGAGTAGTGTCTGACATTTTCTGTCCAGTCCGTCTCATCGTAATCCTACGATCCACTCGCCGTCCGCACTCACAGCTCAGCATGCACACAAACATACACATGTGTACTGGCCCACATGGGGAAGAGCCAACACAATCAAAACACCAGTAATGATTTCGCCTCCACGACTTGAGATCATTTCTACCAACGTTATTTTCATACACTGTAAATGGCGGCTTTGTGAGTGGGAATTTCCCGGAATTCTCTCTGGAGTGACTTAACTTCATGCCAGGAAAGACATCCTGCTATAGTCCAGGAAAAACCAGGAAGTCTGCATGCAGGAGGGATTATCCTAAGGTTTTGCTTATATTGGCTATACCCTATTGATGCAAACACACATGTATACCCACACACACACACAATCGGACGCGCACTTATGAGTCCTCGTTCATCTCTTGGCTATCTGTCCTGGCGATCTTCCTCGGGGGCGCCGGGCTGTCACCCTCAGCTTGTTCCTGTTCCCTTTTCTTTGCTGCATTCTGTTTGACACACAGGAATCAGCAAAATCAGCCTCGCTCTCTTTCAACACATGTCAGTGACAGAAGCACAGATGAACAGCTGCTTTACAGCACGTGATTATTTGAGACCTAATAAAGACTCCTTACAAAGACTTTTGAATTTCAGGAGTGGGACCGCGGCTCATACTCGGCTCTGCCAATTCCATCACTATATTTCCCTTCCTACATTATACACAGCATTTATTGAGGTTCTTGCATTAGTACCTGTTGCCACTCTTTACTGAGACCTTCCCCAAACTGCAGTTTAAAATCTAAATCTTTATTTCATCTGCCATTCAAGAAATACTGTCAACTCTTAGCTCTAACCCTAATTGAGGATGTGGTCTCTGCCAAATGAGAGAAATGAAAGAACTGCACATGCTCACCTTTTTGTCCCACTGCTGGTGGAGGTAACGCAGGAGAATGTTGGTTTTTTCTGTAACAATGACTGTAAACAAACACAGGCGACATGTTTTACATACAAAACACATTACATAGGGTGCTAGTTTAGCCACCGTTAGTAAGCATTTGAAAACATCACCACAGCAGTTTTACAGTTTCAACTGTACTTACTCTGTTCAGAGGGGTATTCGCGTGTTGGTAGGTACACGGAGGGCCTGCGGTTCTATACGAGAGATCAGAAAGAGGCTGTGAATTTGAGCTGTGCCTTCTAGACATGAACAAACCTTTAAAAACTGCATCAAGTGATTTTAAAGGCTACTTACAGATGCTTTACAAACTGAATCTGCATGAAACCTGCTGAAGTTGCTCTTGTTGTAGACAGGAAGTCCTTTCAAGAAATCAGCCTGTGGAAAGAAGGTGAGGTGACTGTTAGACTCTGCAGCTCTCATTTCATTTGTCTTTCATCTTCGACTTCATACATCCAAAGATCGCAAGTCTGAAATTATCTGACTTTTAGCAGACAGACTGCTGTAGTTTACTCGTGTCGGCTGACAGCAACAGTGTAAATCATCACCACCGACACGAGTGTAGGTGTGCTCCTCTTAATGCAGATGCTGCTGAGCAGGTGACAGGTCCCTGCAGATGACTGGATACAGCATTCAGGGCGTTACCTCATCTTTCACGACAACAAACCTGCCGCCCTTCGACGTCGCCATTAACCTTCAAAGTGGATGCAATATCGCACAGTGTCTATCAAGAGGTTTCAAATGGGCAGGATAGAGCTGAGCGGCTCAGAGCACAAATCGATGCCGGCTCGGCCTTGAATACCAACAGGAGGAGCAGGTGTGGCTAGCAGCTAGCCGGTAGCCTCAGTTAGCTGGCTTACAATTACTGCATGCCTTATGACACCAGCTATACAGCTTAAACCACAGTAATAAACATGGGGTAT